CTGCGAAACAGCCTTCTCTAAAAGAAGAACTTCTCGCCGCTTCGAGCCAAGTACCTTCTTGTGATGCCTTCAGCTCTGGGACCAGTACTCCTTCAGACCGTGGACGATGTTCCAACGGCAGGACACCTTGGTGTTTCCCACGCGCTCGCAAAGATACAAGAAAGGTACTACTGGCCCCGCTTTACCGCCGACGTCGCTCGTTACGTTAAGACATTTAGAAACTGTCAGTGAAGAAAGACACCACCGACAAGGCCAGCAGGCTTTCTTCAGCCGATCGAACCACCTCGCCGACCGTTCCAACAAATCGGGATGTACCTACTGGGGCCGTTTCCAAAATCGAATTCAGGAAACAAATGGATCGTCGTAGCTACTGACTATCTCATCCGCTACGCCCAAACAAAGGCTCTACTCAAAAGTAGCGCTGAAGAGGTAGCCAAGTTCTTCGTTGAGAACATCGTCCTTTGTCATGGCGCCCCAGAGGTTGTCATCACCGATAGAGGTACGGCCTTTACTGCTGAATTGACTCGAGCGATCTTGACACATAGCCAGACAAGCCACCGCCACACCACCGCCTACCCCCCACAGACAAATGGTCTCACCGAGCGGCTAAACAAGGCAATTGCTGACATGCTGGCCATGTACGTCGACGTCAAACACAAGAGTAGGACGCCATCCTTCCGTACGTGGCCTTCGCATACAACACGACCGTACAGGAGATGACACAAATACAACCGTACAAGTTGGTCTACGAAAGGAACCTGGCAACGACGCTTTACGCAATGCTGCCCAATGTCGCTGATGAAGAAAACCTTGACATCACCCTCTATCTTCAGCACGCTGACGAAGCACGTCTACTCGCCCGCCTGCGCATCATGAATCAGTAGATGATGGACCGCCCCCGTTAAATCTTTGGCGACACTTCTTAGAATACCAGGCCAGTCAACGTTTTGGGTATGTACGCCGATATGCCGACGTAGACTCAGTGAAAAACTTCTGTGATGGTACTTCGAACCATACAGGGTAGTACGACGTCTTGGTCAGCTCAACTACGAGGTTATCCCCGACGGCATAACTAACACTCAACGGCGCCGATAGCGACGAGAAATCGTCCATGTCGCGCGCCTGAAGCCATTTCATGATCGTTAGCAAAGTGAGTGTACTTTGTTGTTATTATTGCTATATTATTCTTTATTATTTGTAATTTCTTACATTATTATTGCACTTTCATTTTCTAGTAAAGCATCGGGACGATGCCTTTTCAAAGGTGGGCAATGCAACGTTCCTTTCCTCAAGTTTTGTTATCAGCCCCGTTACACCCCGCTTACGATGTTCGAAAAGCTTCCAGGCTGTAGTAGGTCATTTTGTTAAGATTATTTATTTATTTATTTATTTCAGGTACCCTCATGGCCCAGAGGGCATTGTTGAGGGGAGTGGTACAGGATCAGGATGTTGAAAGGTGTTTGAATTGTACAAACAAAAGCACTGAACAAACAAGTATCCAGCGGTGCGTAGAAGTATACAAAAGTTTAACACAAATCTACACAGGTATTGCCTCTGGCATGAAAAGATAACAAAACTAACATTGACAACTGCATGCATATGACACATTATAAGATAAATAAACACTGTGGAAAAAAAAAAAAAGTTCAAGCTACACAGAAGTGAAGTAATCAGACACATTTTTCCTAAACTGGTCAATATTGTTAGTAAGCACTAGGGATGGTGGCAGGCGATTCCACTCTGATGTAGTTCTAGGAATAAACGAATTTGAATATGATACAGTGCGACATTTCGGGATACCAACTTTGCAAGAATGATCTATGCGCAATGAAACATGAGCAGGGGGTAAGATAAGAGCAGTTTTAAGGGTGGCGTTCAATTTATAGATTTTAAAGAAAAGGCACATGCGCGATATCTTCCTGCGCAGTGTGAGTGATTCAAGAGATAGAGTTGCTTTCATTTGCGTTACGCTTGATAAACAGCCGTAATCGTGAAGGATGAAACGCGATGCTCTGTTTTGGGTTGCTTCAAGTGCATTTATGCCCACTTCGTGAACATTACAGATTATTTTGGAAGCTACGGCACCGCTAGCAATGACACTAAAACATTCCATGGCAAGTGTATAAATGCCGACGCGCTTGGCGGCTTGTCAGTTGATCGACGGCCAACGCTCTGCTCGCTGCTATCAGTGCGAGTGGCTTGCTGTAATCTGACTTTTTTTTTACGTGGCGAGAAGTTAGGCCCGAATAAACAGTTTTTTATCCGATCATCCAGTATTCTGCCTTCAGCCATGTCACAACCCCGTGACAATATTTGCAAAAGATTTATATCCCACTATTCAGTTTCTCAGCTAGAATTGATGCAATAAAAGGAATCAGGTATAGATAAAAATAAAAACTGCCTCCTTTACTCACCATGCTTGTGAATCAAAATGTGACGCAAACACACCTACAGCAAATAGTTGCGCAGCATTATATCGTAAAGAAATAAATTGAGCACCCCCTTATATCATTCCATTACATGTCACCATTCATGCCGTGAGGGCCGACACTGAACTAGGGTCAACAAATAAGCATGGCAGCGAAGTTTATTTAAGAAAGCCCACACATTTATAGTATCAGATGAAGCACATGACTCGCATCCTGGCAAACAATATATTCGCATATTACCGTATTTACTCGCATATTAAGCACACTATTTTTTCTAGAAAATTCAGCTCCAAGTTTGAGGTGCGCCAATTACATGGGACAAAATTTCCGAAAATTTTATTTCTTACTACAGCGTAGGCCACTGGTAACGTATATGTGACGGAAGTGATGAATATCTGCGCGACAGCCGAAATAACCTACTTCAAAGGCTACATTAGCAGAAAATGTGTTGAGCCTGCAGCGAGAATTGAGGCAGGCGATGCATTCAAATTTCAAATAATTAACATTGGAAGACTCGCGCTGCCAATGAAATGAATGCAAAAAAAAAACACAAAAACACACACAAAAAGCGTCATCGTGAAAATTCACAGATTATGTTTCAGATCACACAGATTATTGGTGCGTGGAACAATACCGATTGTGCAATTTCACAGGTTCGCACGCTATATCAAAGACATTGCAATTGAATCGTGAACCCCAATTTAAGTGTTCCAAGCACCACCCAAGCCCCCTTTCCTTCAAGTAGAGCTGCCGAAAAGAGTTACATTGATTCCGTACAAAACCCCAACCGCCACCAAAAACCACGAACAGTGATTCGGCCTAGCCTATGGTTCGGCACGTTGTCGCAGGAAGCTTGTACAAGACAACATGAAGATTGGTTGTCGAAAGATCGCACTCAAGCAATAATCCATGAGCAGTGCACATGATACAATGTTTGGGTTAGTGGCTAGGGAATCGACGACGACAAAAGTCCATCGAGCTTGTGCAAGTCTGCGTAGTGGCTGCAAAGGCAAATCTTCGCATAGGAAAGGCGTATATCTTTTAAATTAGCAGATGAAGTAGAAAACACAATAATGATGGCACTTTTCCCAACAGGAAATTTGATACACACTTGAAGAGCTAAGACGTGATCATGCGTTCTATGCAGAGTGCACGCGGCCGGCTAGCAGCTGGAGCTGCGCACGCACGTCGATGCAAAGGTAACTTCAACGCCAAGGCAACAGCCCTTCATCCTCACTCGGCAAGTCCGCGCAGCGCTGCTGCGTTATTATTTTTTTTTCTCGCTTCAGAGAATGTAAAAGGGCGTAAATTCCAACTGTGCAAACACAATACAGAATTACTGCAGATCACGGCCAAGTTAGGAGTGCGCCTATTATGCGAGGAAATAAAAAAATTCAAAGCACGTCTTGCAGGACCAAAATAAAGTTTTTTCATTCCATACTATTTCTAGTGACGAAACTTGGGGTGCAGCTATTATTAGAGTGTGCCTATTACATGAGTAAATACTGTAATATTTTGGCGAGAGGTTAGTGCATGCTTACTGACCAACACAAGACCGGTTGCAAGCTGATGCCCTTTTCCATCTCTTTCTCCTTCGGTGGTGGCAGTGTTTTCCCTTAAATGCTCGTTCAAATGTTATGGTAGTATGACAGATACTGATTCCAGTAACGTGTATGAGTAAATTCTCTTTAACCTGAGCTTCAACTACTCTGAAGTGATGCCGAGTGTGAAGTCTCTTTCATAGTGTTGAAGCATCATGTGCAGAGCCGAAAAGTATGCAGGACAAACACACAGTAGCAATATGGGTTGAGTGAAGCGGCCTTCTGTTTGGCTGTATCTATGCTTGTAGTGGCCACGTTTTCTGAATTGTGAGGCTTTTTTTATTCTCAATTTTACGCTATTTTTAGGATGGATCAGTATACAAAGAACACGATGGAGCACAAATAGAAATGACAAAAACTAAGGTGCTTGAATCATTTCTGTGTGCTTGATTTTGTGTGACCAACTTTTTTTACCCGAACTTTACTAAAAAAAAAAAACTCGAGACAGTGACTGTTTTTTATGAACTGATTCACCACTGTCAGTGCTGACCACCAAGCCCATCAGTACAGATTAAGTTATGTCATCCTGACAGTTACGCTTACCAAGTTGTGCAGACAAATTTCTCACCCACTTGTTAATACAAAAAACGATAGGAAGGGGAAAAAGAAAGTTTACAATGAAAAAACCATAAACAGGGGTCGTTTTTAGCTGACGTTTCGACAATTGAGCTTGTCTTCCTCAGGCTGCTTCTGTTCTAGCCTTGAGGAAGACAAGTCTACTAGTGTAAACTCAACACAACTCCTGTTTATACATTTTTCATCACCCCACTGTTGAAGCTTCTAGTGTTAATCCCCAAGTCTTACTCTATGCCATGTCTTGGTGCTGCTAGCTGGCTTCAGTACTGCTTGGAGTATGCCTCGCGTTTCCAATACGTGCATGCTCAACTTACTAGCCTGCAAGGCACCGCTGGCAAGTATTGAGAAAATGTTTGAATAATAAATGCACAGTTCAAGAACATAGTCCACTTACAGGTGGTCATCCAGGGAGAATATGGGAGGCTGTAATGCTGCTAAGGGCACCACTGAAACCAGCAAGACAAACAAGCAAGAAACATAAGTGGCACTGACATAAACTTCTGTTGTTGGTAAGCCTGCACTACCTTAAAATTTTGCCTTTTTAAAGCTCAGCCACTGTCTAATTCAATCTTGCACATATGGAACTGAAAAAAGTAAGCAACTAGTGTCACAATGCCCAAGCAAGTGCTTTTGACAATAGCCACATTATCTACGGAAAGGAAAGAACACAGAAAGAAGGAAAAAAAAAAAACACGCCAACACACTACTTGGATCAGTACAAACAAACCTTTGGCATGCATTTTGCAAATGCCAATCGGATGGTGCCTCGAGTGGCACAATAGTGAATGCTATATTTTTGAAGAAAGTACAGTGATGGCAGAATGGAGACTCATTGAATCAGTATAAAACTTTAACATGATATGAGGCATCAACTTCAAATGCTTTGGCTATGACTAACACATTTAGCAACTCGTTACCTAAACAATTGAGAGATATTCTCATTGGCATCAAAAAACTTTACATGGCCATTTTACGAATAACATCACCATACATGTTACAAGAAACTTTTACAGCATGAACATCATATGGCCTTGCAGAATAAGCAGCCGTAGCACAGGTAAATGGTCAGACTTTTGATAAATATGCTGGCTACTTAAATTCTAATCTTGTTTCTGAATCATCCAATCACTGAAAATGCTTTTACTTGCAGTGTTGATCATTTGCAATTTTTAGTTAGAAGAGTTCTTGCTTATGAGTTGAGAATAGCTTCTTCCAACTTCAAGATCATAGAAAGTGAGCTCTCTAGCATGACAAACAGGCAGCAACATCATCGATGGAATATTTGCTAGAATTTTGACAAAAATGCTGCCCCAATGCATCTCTGCCTTGTGCATGTCACGGCTTATACAGTAGGTACATATATATGTTTTACAATTCTTCAATCAAATATCAGTTGAGAGTCAGTGCCGTGATGTATTCTTCTTGCTTTTGCTTTTGCCTGTGTTATGCTGTATCCAAGTTAAAGATAACATCGTAATATTCGCACTGAAGAAAACCCTGAGTTCATCTTTTTAGGAGCTTGCTCATTCTGCGCACAGCTTATCTTATGTTGGCGACGTGTACACCAAGGTTACATGTACACTTCTGCGATCGTGCTCAAGGTCACCTCTCCAGTGATTCCAACAATGCTCACTAAATGGCACGCCGCCCCACAAGGCATCACTTTTGAATGACGCGCCTGCTCCCCTTCTCGAAGTGGTTTTGAAAAAAAGGGAAGTGAAGAGAAAAGTGTGTTGTGGTAACTGTCTCTCTCTGAGGAGGTCACCTTAACAATGCCACCGGGGGGATGGGTAGTAGGGGAGAAAAAGGAATGTGAAAGAGAAGAAAAGAGGAGAGTGTCAGTGATGGTTGGTCTGGACGCGCACAAGTGCGCGCCGCCTTCCAAGGCGTCAGTTCTTTACCGATTATAAGAGTGCTCACTGGGTGGCGTGTCGTTGCTCATTGCGGCACACACCACTTTCGGCACGTCCGCTTCCATTCTTTTCGGTGGGAGCTCACGCAGTGAAGCATACTTGGTCATTACTCGGTCGCATGTACAACCCATCATCCCAGGCAGCAGCACGGCAGGCATGCAAAACAGCCGCAGCTTGGGCCGAGTCCCCGAGCTCATTGACCGGCGCCCTATTTGTACTTTGCAAAACAATATCTTTTGTGTATATAAAATGTATGTAGTTCATCAAAATGTGCATAGTACATACAATTGTAAATTAATAAACATTGTGTATGTAATATGTATATAACAATGTTGTCAATCCATATATGATGATAGCAGATATGTGTGGAGGATTCTCGGGTGACCCGATCATATACGAGCAAGCTCCTCTAACATCATTCACTTTGTGGACATGATGGTGATTTTTTAAGCTAAAAAATCACAATGTTATAAGATCATCAAGTGAGAGATGCCTGACAGAAGCAGTAGTTGGCAGAACTTGTCTGAAATACTCCGTCAAGTACTTCTAGTACAAGGTATTGCTGAGTTACTTTCCGTCGTCTTTTTGTATGTGACATCGTGAGCACCTCTAAGCACATTGCTGATGTAGCCTTTGCGGCTTGGAGTGAATGCAACCTGTAGTTGCCCACCTAAATGCACCAAAGCGTATATGTACAAAAGAGCGACCCATGGAATATGACAACCAGAAACCAGAAGCATTGCTACCGCCATAATACCATGACTGCTAATGCAGAGACTGAACGGGATAATAATGAAGTGGTCCTTATCAACACACATATGGCCGGCATTACAATGCAAGACAAATAAACATGGTGCCTATTTAAAACTTGTTTCATGGACTCTATGGCTGAAATACACTCTTAAAAAAAAACACTGCAGGCTTGTGTAGAACGCACACCACAGTCACAGTGTAAGCTGGAGGAGCAGTCTTTACACAGGTTGATGTAAAATTGCTGTACCTTAATGTACGAGCACTAATTCAGTCATTAGTCCACACGTTCGAGCACCATCGTTTTTACTCTGCTTATTTCCACTATGTTTGGATTTTTTTTTTATTTCATTAAATATTCTATGCACCTCGCCCAACCTTGGTGTTGAAACTTTGCTAAACACTTTTACTTGTACGAACATTACGAATAGTTTAAAGCACCACCTCCAATGACTACTTATGATTAATGACAAGCTTAACGATATATTGGATAAAGTAAACTCTCTAGGCATGCACTACAGCTGTTAACAGGATCTGTAGTATATGCAGAATGAATATTTTATTTATCACTCAAAGCTTGCAATAATGTTATAAATCACGGTAAGCATGCATAAGTGACGCATGTATTGCTGTTAAAATGTAGAATTGGACACCATATTTATTTGAGAATAATAAATATAGACTGCAAGTTTTCATATTGGCATTCAAGGATTTATACAAATTAGGAAATAAGTTTCATCAAATGTTCTTGTTAAATTGCAGACAATAGCTTCCAAAATTTCGGTTCCTAGAGATTGTTACAGAAGCTTCCATGCTTTTTCGGGATGGTGCGTGGTTCAAGGTGGGTGCCTCGTATGTCTTAGTACTTTTTTTTTTTTTTTTCATTAGACAGCCAGTGATGCTTGAGTGAGGAGTACTGCCTTTTTAGCCAACCAGAATCATTGAAATTGATGACCATAATTTGGCAGCACACAATAGTGATTTAGTGACCCCACTTTCTCACATTATGGGTATTATCGCCCCAGTGTGAGCAGCCTGAAGAAAGCTACATTAGTTGTATTTGAAATCGAATTCATGTTTAGGAATGTGAGTTACCTGCAATGGATTCTTGATGAAAGTGCATACCATCATGTATGGGTTGCAGTATCATTAAATTTGCTGTCAATGCACTATGCACGAGTGCAACTCAAGCATGGTTTTATTACATCTGCGATGTGGAAATTGCATTTCCTTTCATAAGTTGCAACTGTGTTCACCAAGAACACCAAGAAAGTTTTGCTTGTAACATCTGTAGATTGTGTACATCCTGGTTGTTTTAAGACACATTGTTCCAAATCATTTTAAGTCGACTGACAAATTCAGTTTTGTTAAGAGACACATGTCACTACATTTTTTTCAGTGTTTCATCACAGCCTATGCATGTACCTCGTATGAACTGAGAGTAAAAGAATTCTGGACAAGGCTGTCATCAATGATGGCTCGTGGAAAAGTTGGCAACTGAAT